AGACAAAGATACTTAACTCTGTAATAAGTCATCAACACAGTTACTGTATGTCCATTATTAGTAGGTACAGTATACCGATACAGGCGCACCTAGACATTCAACATTCTTCAGTGTGTTCAAGGTACTACCTCTGACTAAAATACCAGCGGGAGAGATCAAGTTTTCAAAAATAAACCCTCTTAAGAAGCACATCATACTGGGGCCTCTTCAGGTGCTCATGACGAACGGAGCTATTCTGCACAGCAATTAGAGGGAGGTGAGAAATAGCTGGAGACACTTGCCATAGATGAACACAGAGCACAGGCTGTCTCTGGCCAATTACAGACTTGGGAAGCAACATAAATGAAGGCGCAGGGAAACATCCCGTGTCTTTGCTGGGAACTGTCCCATGGTGTGACTGGGTGCCAGCAGAATCTGAGCCAGACCAAAAGAAGCTTGGTGCCATGATAAGGTCCTGAGAGCTTCTGAAGAAGATACAGAAAGGCCGAGAAATTAAATCCAGCAAGGTCCTGGAATGGCAGGGAGAAATAAACACAAACGGGTTTCGAATGCAGAAATTTCACTGCTGTATATTTGAAGATGAAAGAACAGTGAAACGTTGGGCAAGCAGGCCCGTGTTCCACCTCAGGACAGGTGGTCCTCGCTGTCAATAAGACCTGAGAGAGAACTTTGACAATCACGTGTTCCTTAATGTGACTGGTAGATCAGTACCATGTTTAGTCATGCAGTCAATATTCAGAACTGATTGCTGCTCTACTTTGCTGTAGACATGGAACAAAGGTTTAATGTCTATATGTAATGTTTAAAGTCTTGTAATTTTAGAACTTTTCGCAAAACTGGATTGTGCTGAAACACAGCAAGCAATTTGGAAGAACGTGGATTAAAGAAGATCTGGAAACAATAAGACTGGGCAGAATAAAAAGTGCATCTTACTTCTAATTGAAATACACCTGTCAAGATAATGACTCAGAGGAAGTCAACTGCATTAAGCACAGAACCAGTGGACCAATAAAGGTTCTTGCAGTTTCTGAATTCTGGTCTGTGTTCCATTAAGAAAGTGGAGTGATGTCAGGGGACAAGGCACGATCGCACTGATGTCCATTGATGTCCACTGATGTCCACTCACCTGAAATGTTACTGTGAAGAGCTCACCCTCAGTAACTGTGGAAGAGGCATCTCAAGGTAAGTTCTGTTGCATCGTTTAATCTTGTACTGTAGATGAACTGTAGTCCACCTGGCTTCATTGATAGTAATTTTCTTTGTGCTTTTTGTCTCTTGGGAAAAGGCAAAAGAAAAAGAAGACAAAGAAGTAAATAAGTCAGCAATGTAGACAGGGCTAACTGCAGTAAAGACCTGTGCTTCTCAGACACATTGTAACACAAGGAGCAGGAAGACAGAAGAGTGACAGGATATCGAATGAGAGGGATCTCTCATGGCAAAGGATGTGGTGACGTCAGGACCCTTGCTCCCACCTTACTTAGGCACAGGGACCTAGTGTGTTGAATTGTGACAAACATTTGCTCATTCCTGCAGTCACCAGGACAGTATTAGCCCTGATACTCTGTGAAACTTGAGACATTTTCTCTTAAAAAAGAAACAAACAGGCAAAATTAATTTTCATTTGTGAGCTGATTGTTTTGAAGGCAGCTCACCGCCCTGCAGTAAATACTCTGGGAAAGGGCTGGGACAGCTGCTGTGTGAAATGTATTCAGAGCACTTAGAATCTGCTTCCATTCATGCCATATGTAGACATTAACAGGCTGCAAATTTACAATTCCTGCAACATTCTCTACTGCCGTTATTCATGCCAGCTGTGGCAGTTGTGATGTAATCACACTGCTTGAACTCAGCCATATTTCATGCAATACTTCCAAGGTAAAGGGTTGAAATAAATTTTCCATGCCATCTAGTGTCTCTAAAAAAAATAAAAGGAAGTACTGTATACTAAATATTCCGGAAAAGTAGGTCAGTTTATATTGCTCTGCCAAATGTACACATGTTCGCACTACAGTTCAGTAACTGGACTCTGGGCGCTCAATGGTCTGATCAGTTTATACTGTACGTTACCAGGTTTGAACAAGTGAAAAATGAAATCAGGTCTGGTTGCTTTAAGCTGGTTACCTTATTTCAAAGAGATCTGCATACAGAAAAAAGGTAAATTTACATACTGCAATTATACTTATTCAGCACCACTCACGTGAGAGCTGAGATCTTGGCATGCTTGAAAAATACACTGAAGCTGCAGTGCAGGGAGGCTGTGTTTCCTACTGGAGATCTGTCTCCCAAGCACTGTGATACAAAAAGAGCGAATTAATATCTATTCCCAAAAAACTGTAGCACCAGCATACTCTTAAAAAAGAACTCTATGGTCCGAAAAGTGTTCCTTGATCTCTTTAATTTTGAACACAAAGAAAGACCAGGCAAGAGTGCAATAATTAATCAAGCTCAGTAGAGAGGATGGGGACCTGAAGACGGATTCCACAGGACCACACAGACGGGATGGACTGGAGGGTCTCCTGTCCTTTCTGATGTCCTTAACTAGCGATTCAAAAAGTGAGATAGCAGAGGGTGTCCTCGGCCTTGTTTTTAGGGACTGTCTTTCTGTCTGTTGGTGTGTTTTTAAGTAGAGTGAGTGGCAGCATCTTATACACAGATATACACAGATACACAGGCAGGACTTAGACCATCCCAACCAGAAAAAGACAGTTTTTGTTCTCAGCATACCTCGGGGAAAAGTTGAAGAGAAATTTTAGTTTTGGGATTAATAATTTCAGGAATACCCATGTATTTGGTACTAAGCATTGTCTCTTTTCAATGGCACGTTAGCCAAGTATTGTGAATGTTTTGTCTTAATTCATCCTATAGTTCACAACTGAATGAAATTCTGGCATAAATCAGCAATATTGTAAATTTTGTTTTCATGTTGTGGAAACCGCCATTTCAAGTTGCTTTATTTGTCATATATACTAAGGGCCGTGTTCTGCATTCAAAACCAACGGTCTGTTAAAACAAATAAAAAAAGTGACTGATTTTCTGAGTAGAGAGAGTAGAAAGCAATATGCATTGCATTAGTGCTTTAAGTCAAAACTGCCCAGAGTATAGAACATAGCCTATTAATCCTAAACTACTGCTGTTTTCTAAGCCGTAAAGGAATGTAATATCCACAATAAATTCTGCAGAATGTCATTTAAGGCTTCATATCCACTGTATTATAAAAGCAATGTTTAAGACAAACCAGAGATGCTGGGGTTGTGTAATACCTTTATCTGAACTGTTGTAATAACATGCTCTCATGGCTGCACAACCTTCAGAGACAAAAAGAAAAAATATAATAAAAAATATTCCAAAATATTTTCACCCTTTGCTTCAAATGCAGAACTGACTATTGCAGGTCTAAGAATGTGTTAAAATAAACTATTTTTCTCAACATGTCCTTTGGGTTTCTATTTCCTGCCAGAGAAGCCCAGATTTCCAAACTGAGGCACACCTGATGACAGTGAGGACAGCAGTGCTGGAAAGAGTGAGGTAAAGCTGCAGGGCTGTGCAAACGTTCCCTGGAGTTCCACAGACTGGCACCCTGACTGGCAAATGGGATACCAGCTAGAGGAGACAGCACTTTGCAAAGCAATTGTGTGTTAGCGCACACTAGACACTTTTGTCCACTAGACACTTTTTTTACCCCCCATTCACGATTAGGACATTCTAGACATCTTCACTTTCAGACATTTAAATCTGCTCTGGCTCACCTGTAGAATGATGTTTCAAATGGTGTATCAAGATGACTATTTTACGACCGAATTGTTCCCTGTTTCACAAGATTTCTAGGTTTTAGTTCTGACCCCTGGCTCCGTCTCTGACTTTGTCTTCTGGATCTTGACTTGATTATTGTGGATTTACTGTTTTTTTACCCTGGCCTGACATCCTGAACCACATTTTGGGATACACTCCTGCTGGTACTTCTGAGTTCAGAGGATTTTCCCTAGGGTCTTCTGCATTGTAACAAAGCCAGAGGTCAGAGCCAAAAACTTAGAAATCTTGTGAAACAGGGAACAATGCAACTCCAGCTGAGTAAACCCCAATACTGAGCAAGGAGTGGTGTGTCAGGCTGGTTTAAGCAGGCAGGTGGAAGAAGGTGTGTCTGATTAGTTCATTGGAAACTGCACTGGAATGTGTAGGAGTTGATTAAGGGTGGTTAGTTCTCTTGTATGCTGTGATGGACTGGTGTCCTGTCCAGGGTGTGTCCTGCTTTGCACCCTGTGCTTGCTTGATTAGGCTCTGTCTCGCCATGACCATGTTTAAGGATAAAGTGACTCCTGAACATGGATGGGTGTTTGTAACACTGGAACAGAGTTAAAACAGAGGCAGCTGAAACACAAGATGGGGGAAGTAAATGGTGTTATGAAACTGCTAGGAATACCTTTGTAAATATGCCTGAGTCATTAATGAACCACATCAAAAAATCCTGCGAAGAAGCAGCTGCACAATTCATTTGTAGCTCGTGTGTTTGAAATGTGATTAAACATTTCTTACAGTCTGAATATATACTGTAGTTTGCTGTTTTAGCTTCAACTATGTCGGTATGCTAAGCAACAACAAAGTAAAATCTGATTCAGCTGGTTAGAAAACATTTGTGTGTTGTTCAGTCTTAAAAAGAGAAACAAATAATACAACAGGCCTACAAACAAACGTTTTAACTTGTCACCTTGAAATGTACATTTATGTAAGCATGTATTAATTCCAGCCTTTTAAGCAATCAAAAGTAGAAGATTTTAATGTACAAACATGTTAAAAACAGGCGTTAGACGGTATAGACATTCTACTTTTTTGTGTATATGTAAACACAACATCAACATCACGCTTGAAAATTAACTACAGATTGGGGCGATATCAAGAGGTGTACAGATTACAAATATACTTTCGTGGGCAGTGTTAATTCTAAAAATGCTTTCCTTAACAATACGCATTATTTTTTATCTTCGTTTTAACCTGTAAGATGATGAGGTCGAACTCCAGCGAATCACAGAAAGCTGCCTAGCCACAAAAAAATAAATCCCTGTGGCGCGAGGGGAGGGTTCCGTCTAAATGCCCACAACAAGTAATTATCCGTGACAGGTCTCGGTTTGCGCTACGGACAGGTCAGGACTGAGCCAGAACCTTAAGACGGATCGCTGTCCATCAGGCGTGGGATGAGAGCGGAGCCGGAGGCACGCTTTCCGTTCGCGTCCAGCAGATGGCGCTCTGTGCGCTCTAGCGGGTATCGCAGAGTGGGCTCGGTGGTGAGATGCTGTGTCTGGGAGCGGGTTGGTGGAGACCGGAGCGGAGTACCAGCGATGCTGCCTCTCTGTAGCTGCTGCGCACCGCAGTGATCCGGTCTCGCTTTCGTACAGCTGTTTTGATCCGCCGCTCGGCGGATGCTCCTTCTTCCTGTCTCGGCCAGCATCCAGCAAATGGTCCATTTCTGCACCGCGGCAGGGTATGAGAGCACAATCCATCACTGATTGAATTTTTGGACAAGAAAGCGGGAGAGGGGTCGAGAAGAAGCGCTGTTCCAAAAAGGATAATATTTGGTAAGTGCAATGTCATTCCAGTGGCTTTTTTTCCCTTCTCCCCCATTAACCCTGCATGATGTACAAAACCACAAGATGCAATTGTCTTTGAAATGGAGAAAACGCAACAGCGCCAGCTTTCGCGCGTCTGCTTATCCGAAAGCATTTTTCTCCCCTTTTTGCGGGTTTTGAATTGACGTGCATTTTTACGGTTCAGCTGTCTCAGAAAACCGTGTTTGGTCGCACAAATAGCACAGGTAACATGTCTGAATGCTGACTGGAACAGAAGCCCGTTGATGTCGCTATGCCCTCCTAGTCGGGCTTCTTAGTGTAGCGGATAGCTTAATACTTTCCTGCCTAGTGACCTAAATTTCGAATCAATGGTGGATTTTATAAGCCAGTGCCTTACTGTGTAACACGAACGACTATTGTTCCTGAGCAAAGCGTCTTGGCTTCTAAAAATAGGAGCGTCGTTTGATAAAGGTGAATGGAAACGCGGTTTATTCGGGAACTATATAATTAATGACTGAGAAAGAAGCATCTCCCATCATTCTGAAATGCTTTTGCCTTTCCATCCAGTAAGGAGAAGCAGGCGTATTAAAAAGACACTGCTTCTTGTTATCTCAAGATGGACATAGTTTTGCTTTTCTGTCGCTGTGTATTCAAAGACGCACAATACACAACAATTGCAGTATTAAACACATTGCCTGCATGAGGGTAACGCAATTATTGGCATTAAAAGTGTGGGTGAGATAATGTTGTAGATCTACCTCCCGGATTGCCAAATGGACGTCCTTACTGCAATACAACCATATTACAATTATTATATAATAGAAAATGTTTTGTTGGTGTTGGTTGTATCGTTTTTAGAGCAAATACAAAATATCCGTCTATTAGTTGTTTTAGTTATTAATTATCAGACGATATGCTGTTGAGGTTAGCGGCAGAAATGCTACCGTTCCAGGATTTATAATATTCCTTGATTTGCATCTGGAGCAATATTTCGTTGTAACGGTTCCACGGTATTTTGACAGTTAGATAAAGAACTTCATAAAATATTTAAAATATTAATATTTCGTTCACCGTTCATTTCCCGTTTCGATTATTTTCAACAAATACTTTGAAGCGAAAATTTTCTTTGCATTTATTTTTGAAACACTTCATATAGAAATACAGTACATGGTCAATTCTCCCTGCAAAATGTTGCACGCCTCAAAGTGACGTTTTTCAAAGTGAAGTTTACAGTTTATTTAAAGGATGAATGAAATAACCAGTTTAAAGGGATTTTGACACCATAGCATGTATTAAGAATTTCAGTAAAAAAAAGTATTTGGAAATTTTGCGCTTTCTCTGAAAATACAGTATGTAGTTCTTATGGTTTCAATCTCTTGAAATGCGTTTCAATAGCGAAGTAATATGACCGCCCGTAATCTCTAATAAAACGAATTATTGCTGGAAACATTGAAACAGGCTGGATCATATACAGTATATTTGTATATTAAATAAAACAACAATTAGGCTTGACATTTTCAGTCCAAGGATAGATTTCTAGATATTGTTTTTTTAACTGATGGTATTGTACAGTACATTGGCTTCTTTACAGACGGGATTGCAAAAATAATAAAAAAAAAACACCTTTCACGATGTGGGGGACTTACAGATATCATCACCTAGAGAAATATGGGGAGATGCTCCTCTAAAAGAGTGGGTCTCAGGGCTGCTTAACCACAAGTGTCAGTGTTTGTGGACCTGAACCAGCCTTTAAAAAAGGTTGGTTTTTTAAGTCAGTTTTTACAAGGGCGTCTTGCCTGTATTAGTCGCGATGGCAGTGAATCTCTGGATGTGTGCTGATCGGCTGTAACACAGAGTGCTGGAGACGTGCCTGGCAGAGGCGGCTAGGCTCAGGTCTGTCTGCTGTTTGCTTGCATGCTCAGGGATGGCAGCCCCAGACCTTGGCTTTTAATTATTCATGAATGTGTGGGGGTAGAGCTGTAGAATCACGGCTGACAGGCTGTGGGTTCGAGTCCCGGGTCCCTGCTGCAGACGCTGTTGTCATACCTTGAGGAGGGATGCTGGACCCCAGTTGCTCCAGTCTGCCCAGCAGTGCGAGTGGCGTCTCGTGGTCTTTGGCCTGTTTAGTGCCACAGGAACCAGCACTAAAGGAAGAGCTCTGGCCCGGCCCAGCTGCTGTGGCTCGAACCTGCAGCCCATCTGCTCGCTGAGCTCTCACGGACAGTGGGTGACACCGTACCTGTCTGCTGCTGAGTGCCGCAGTGTTGGTGAACAATATTTAGCTGCAGAGGCTTATTAAGATTTATTTAGCCAACGAAGCTGATCTTTACTCCACTATTTAATTTTTTTTTTAAAGCCCTTGTGTTTTTTAGACATTCTTTTAATGAAATACAGCTAAGAAAGGAAGAAGATGTGCTAATTCCTGTAAGATGTGACATCTTCAAGAACACACAAGGCAACAGGTGGTGTGTTTTTCTGGTACTTTACTCTCCACCAAAGCTCCTCTGCTGTCGTCTGTCACAGCTGCATGTAGCCTTACCAGTGTGTCGCCTCTATTCTGGTCTGTCTGGATGCAATTATCCCCTGAAGTGCGTTCATGCTGCTTGGAGGTTTCTCTCTCACTCTGACGTCAAGCCCAGCTCCTAACATTTCAGATCAGTTAGTGTAAGCTCCACAAGCTTCGTATACTGTAGCAATGTTGCTTTCTGCCCCCTTGATGTCGGCTCTTCCTGCCACTGTGGAGCAGACTTCGCAAGGCAGTGCTGATGGGGCAGGCGAGCTGGTTAGGGCTGCTGGTGAGCTGTGCCCTACTGGCGAGGCGTGGTGGCAGTAGTGCTTCCGCTCAGTGTGAGAGGAACCGCAGGTCCAGACATCCAGACATGGTGTCTGTGCTCATCTGAGGAGCCAGTGGTGCGAAGAGGCCATCTGTGGAATCGCGACTGAGCTCTTCCTGTCAGAATCCCCCTGAAGGTCCAGCAGGACTGCCGGAGCACTTCAGCTAGGTGGATCTCCAGGTGCTTCAACGTCCTCCTTTAATTAAAGTATTATAATAAACACAAGCTTCGCTACTGAATTATTATTATTATTATTATTATTATTATTATTATTAAGCTTATCCATATATTATTAACTATAATGCCCAGAGTATGTGGGTGTCTGCAGAGCTTGTGGATGTAGAAGGTGATGGGGCACCCCAGTACCTCAGAACCCTGGATCAGGACACTCACGCTGCCTCAACAGCTGCAGCACGTCCTCAAGCTCAGGAACACAAAGAAACTGCAAATCAATAAGATCCACTAATGCATTGAAGTGTCTTTTATATGGGTAAACTGTTATGAAAAAAAATGATTTCGCATTAGTAGAACTGTTTTTTTAGGGAAACGTTTGCTACCTTATGTCTTGAAAGGCAAAGCAGTGAATTAATGAATGTTCTAAGGAGTGAGTGGGGAAAAAAGCCAATTGTAAAAGTCAATTGTGATAAAAAAATAAGCACCCAACCAACCCTGGAGTAAAAATATACTTTTTTACTTAAGTGAATTAAAAGTATAAAACTATACTTTAGTGTAATGCTAAAGCTTTAATTAAAAGAGTTGATGGTTGCGGAGGATTCCTAACTGACCTGGGCGGTGAGTTCCACAATCCTGGTGCTGCACGCAGGAGGCTGTGCTCTTCATTGTGTGGAGCCTGGTGTTCAGTGGAGTAGGAATCAGCAGATCTCAGATTAGGTGTTGGGAGCTGGTTTGGTTCCAACTTTTCAGTGCCTTGTACACACATGCCTTATAATTTCACTTGAAGGCAGTACAATTTGCACAGTTACCTGCTGATATTGAAGCCTGTCTTAATACTTTCTTAGGTAACTCAGTAAATAAGCCATTATATTATATTAATCTTAAATTACGTCATGTTGGAATGTTCCTAACATGAATTTTAAACGACAACACAGGTATTGCCAGGGTATTTAGCTTCCACAAAGGTTAAAATTTCAGTACTGTCAACATCAGCAGTGAAGTCACTGCCTTTGAAAAACTGATGAATCTGGGAATCTATGAGTATGGCCTCAGTCTTGTTGTAGGCTTAACTTTTTTCTGTTGTAGGCTTAAAGTTCTGCATCAATTTCTGAACGTCAGACAGATGCCTGTCAAGTACAGAAACTCGGCAGTAGTGTTTGATTTTGGTCAGCAAATGATTGTGAGAATCATCACAATAGCAGTGAAATCAATGTCCAAGATGGTGAAGTATCTGACTAAAACCCAACATGTACATATTAATCATTAAAGGCCCCAGCACCGAACCCAGTGGAACACCTTGAATAAGTGGAGCATCATCACATATAAAACAAGATTTACCAGTTAGTTCCTAGTATCCAATCATCAAACACCTGTGCTCCTGTAGAGTGCCATAGCTGACAACAACAGAGGGTTCACTTAAAACACAGAGTCACAATCCATCAGCAAATCATTAGCTACCTTAACAACAGTGGTTTCAGTATTGTGTTGTTGTCACAGCCCTGACAGGAAAGGTCATGCAAGAAGAGATCCTGACTGAGCTACCACTGCCCGTCCCAGAGTTTCTGTGAGAAAAGACAAATAAGGACCAGAACAGATATCATTGAATTGAAGTGCAGACCAGTAACACAAATGTACAGTATTATCAACATACTGGTACAAGATCAGATCTCAAAGACTATTTTCCTCTCTTATTTAAAGAATGCACTATATTATTTTATTTCACTGAAATGAAACTGGTCTTTACTTCATAAACTGATTTGTTATTAGTAATGCAATTCTGCACTTTTTTATATTACTACTGTATGTATCTGTTGCACTAAGTTGCACCATCTGGTGTGACCCATAACTCCATAAGTTTGCTACACGTTATGCTTTTTATTTATACTTAAAGAATTATTTTTGTGTTCCCGTAACTCAGTGGAAGGAGAAATGCATAGCGGGGGCTCTGTGGCTCAGGATCTGTGCCCGTGGCTGGAAGGTAGCTAGTTCAAATCCCACAGC